AGATATACCACGCTCTGCGAACGCATTGAGCGCTTTATCGCAAGGATAGACTAAAATCAAGATTTATTTATCTATCGGAAATATGTATACATATATTTAATTTTTTTCAGGCCTTATTTTCACTACTGCTCAAGTAGTGTTCATGACTGCGAATATCGCTTTCATATTCACAATGAAGAGTCTAATTCTGACGGGACAGAAGACTGCATAACGGAAGAGGCACAAGAAAAACTGATAAGGATCGTGACCAAAGCCAGCTATGGGGGAGGAACAGCTTAACCAACCTGAAAATGAAACTGGATCGGGGTTATTACAATAGCTTAGCACCCCATGCGAGAGCCATGTCATAGCCCAGAGAAGCAGATGGGCTATCAGCAATATCAGTACTTGAAAGGCCGCGCTTGGACTAGTTGGCAGGCATAGGCATAGTGTTCATACTTTCACATAGCGCTAATTTTCACTATTTTTAATAAAACAGAAGTTGATACTTCAAATTTAAATTCACTTATGTAAAGAAATGCAAAATTGTCTTTATTTTTATGGTGGCGATCTCAAAATTTGAATCAAATACCTAAAAATGAAGCCGGAGTCTTGGAACAACCAGTTGTGGTGGGTGGTGGGAGAGCATAACATGGTAATATAGTATTATCAACAGTGTTGATAACGTAAATTGGCCACCGTAAAGAGTCGTAAAGCTGACGTTTCGCTCCGACGAAGGGCTAACGCTCGTAACGTCATCAGCTTTAGAACTCTTTACGGTGGACAATTTACGTTATCAACTAAGTTGATAATATTAAATTACCCTGTTTAAGAGACAGCTTAGTTATCTCACCTACTTTATTGTTTACTGTTCATTGCAGCTTGGCTGAGCAATTGAACATACCAATTTTGACTTTTACTTTTTAAAAATAGAGCGCACCAACATCAAGTTGAACATAAAAGAGGATGCAAAAACATTTTCAAATCAGAACAAAATGCCACACAAATAACAACCGTAAGTAACGAAAATCGAGCGGGAAGAAAATGAGTTTCGAAATTAAAAGAAGACTGGAGGAAGAGCCGACTCACAGACATTTCGGACACAGCGTGAGATGCAGTACTGGAAGGAGCTGGAGTGTAAATAGGAACAAAAAAAGATGAATAACCTCCTTTTTATCAAGGGTCTGTAAATTTAACGCCCTAAACCAAGATATCGTTCGAAAGGCAATTTCCTTTATACACAGAGTTCTTTTTATTAGTATCTAGCTTTACCCCAATTCTCGCTATGATGATGCATGTATTCAATCATTTTAGGAGTTTTTGCGTTGGAACTACCAGCTGGTGACAACCTTGGGGAGTGTTTTGAATTCGTTTCCGATTAAACAAAAAGTTTAGAAATGGTAAATTAAGCACGTTTATTGTCGATTTCATACCAAAAAAGCGTCAACCGATGTCGGGAGGATTCCGAATTTAACCAAAGAATAATAATTTGAATAGGAGGGAGGGATATTAAGCTTGGCCTTTGGCGAGGTCTCTTGTTGTCCAGAAAATGATCTGACAAACTGAAGCAACAGTTGCTAGTAAAACTCTTCGAGGACAGGATTTTGAGACTTTTCATTCTTTAGGGCTCCGCGATCAAATCATATGAAAATGTAGAGTTCTTAAGAAAGTTTTTCCCCAGGACGATTTTGGTGGGTAGGAAATATGTTCACCGTTTCTATTTAAAAACATATTCCTTTGGGGGTCTAATCGAACCAGCAGCTTGGACGAAAATGCACACACTGGGGGGTTGTTGATTATTAGAAAAATATACATTCAAAAACAATTCGAGAAAAAAATTAATTTTCGTATATTTTGTTGTCACGAAAAAAACTCGCTTTAAAGCCTAACGTTACATAGACAAGTTCCCTACAAACAAAATTTCTCACGCTTGCACGGGCTGTTGTGTCCACGAATTTCCATATATAAACCTATTGTAAATTTTATAAACTTATTGTAAATTCAATAGGTATATATGTACCTGAAAGGCCGCGCTTGAGATTCAAAATCTGAATCAATTACTTAAAAATGAAAGAATCTTGAAACAATCAACTGTGGTGGGAGAGCATAACATGGTAATTTAGTATTGTCAACAGAGTTGACAACGTAAATTGGCCACCGTAAAGAGTCTTTAAAAAGCTGACGTTTCGCTCTGACGAAAGGACTATAATACTCTTTACGGTGGTCAATTTACGTTATCAACTCAGTTGATAGTACTAAATTACCCTGTTTAAGAGACAACTCTGTTACTTCGCCTTTTTTATTGTTTACTGTTCATTGCAATTTTGATTGTTACTTTTTAAAAATAAAGTGCGCCAACAATAAGTTGAGCATGAGTCGAAACAAAAGAGGATGCAAAAACATTTTCAAATCAGAACAAAACGCTACCCAAATAACAATCATAATTAACGAAAATGAGCGGAAAGAAAACGAGTTTCGAAATTAAAAGAAGACTGGAGGAAGAGCCGACCCAAAGACACTTCAGGCACAGCGTGAGATGCAGCACTGGAGGGAGCTGGAGTGTAAATAGGAACAGAAGAGATAAGTAATCTTCTTTTTTTCAAATTCTGTAAATTTAAGCTATTAAACCAAGTTATCAGTCGAAAGGCACTTTCCCTAAATAACAGAGTTCTCAGTTCTATCAGCATCTAGCTTTACCCCAATTCTCGCTATGATGATGGATTCAATCATTTGAGGAGGTTTTTGCGTTGGAACTACCAGCTGGTGACAGCCTTGAGGAGTGTTTTGAATTCGTTTCCGAATAAATAAAAAGTTTATGTTAAATTAAGCACGTTTATTGTCGATTTCATGCCAAAAAAAAGGGTCAACCGATGTCGGCAGGATTCCGAATTTAATCAAAGAAAGAAGCACTAAGGGGTTTTACAATCTGTAGAATGATAATTTGAATAGGGGGGTATATTAGTTTGGCCTATGGCGAAGTTTCTTGTTGTCCAGAAAATGTCCTGATAAACTGAGGAAACAGAAATGCAGGAAAACTCTTCAAGGACAGGATTTTGATTGTAAAGGATTACGTAATCACATCATACGAAAATGTATAAGAACTTTTAAGTTTTTCCTCAGGAAGATTTCGGTGAGTAGGAAAACAATTCACCGTTTCCTTTTAAAAACATATTCCTTTGGGGGTCTAATCGAACCAGCAGCTTGGACTACAATGCACACACTAGGGGGGGTGGTACATCATTAGAAAAATCTACATCCAAAAACACTCCGAGAAAAAAAATATTTCCACTCTTATCACTAAAAAAAACTCCTTTAAAAGCCTTACGTTACACGGACAAGTTCCATACAAACATTATTTCTCACAATAGGGTCCGCTTGCATGGGCTGTTGTGTCCACGAATTTCGATAGATAAACCTATTGTAAATTTTAGCCCTCAAGATATGGGAATTACCTGAAGGAGTAGGAAGTTAATTCAAAGATGCTAATGCCAGCCTCGATGACTTTTAGGAGAATAACTGCAAATCAAGACCAAAGAGTTAGAGAGAATTCATTCTATGATTATGAATAAAACTCAAGTTTAAGCGTGGTTACCGTATTTGAACTCAGAAAGCAAATGAAATCAAATCACATAGGAATTGCACCGCGTTCGCCCCCTATCGAGTTCGCCCCTTCGAGTTCGCCCCTACCTTATGCCGTGTTCGCCCCCACACTTTTCGAGTTCGACCCCATCAAGTCGAGTTCCACGGCTGTTTCAAAACGCCCGCCAGTGGAAATTTAGTTCGCGCATGTCAGATTGACATTTTCAATTTGAAACCGCTGAAAATGTAAGTTTAACGGCTCAACAAGAAAGAGCCCACTGATAACTAGGTCGCAAAAAGTATATGCGCAAAGCCCAAGGAAATAGCTAACTTATGCGCAGACATTGTATTTTGCTTCCCTGGTTAATGTTCTCCTAGAGAAGATTGCGTGTGCGGGATAGTTAACTATGCGACGGCTTAATGGCATCTTGTTTTGACGCGAGATGACTTATCGCCTTTCTGAGGTCTTCTTATTTTCAGGCAAGATTCTGATTGATTCGAATTTTTCTTTCAATAAAGGAACAACTCAGGCTTTACGTCTCCCCTTTGCCATCAGTTTCTTTACCATGACGTTTTAATCCGAATTGTTTTGAGCGGTGTAATCTGCGATTACACATCACCACCGAAATAGTAAATATGGCGTCCATCTCCCCTTTGACCTCGAACTAATGCCCCTAAACTACGCGAATTTATCCTCTGAATGATCTCATGCTTACCCATGGGCTAAACAAAGAATACACGATTTATGACAAACTGATAAAATGTCCACGGCCTTCTGTTACGTGCAAGAAAGTCGAACTACGTTCGTGTGATTTCCTCCTCGAAAAGTTTATGTCATCGATCTGTCACAGGGAGCTACGTGAAATAGTGAAAGCACGGACAAGACGTTTCTTTCGGTCAACATTTCAATCATGATCACGGATAATAAACCTTACAATTATATGTTACCATTTGTGCTTTGATCTGATAGTTAAATCGTTTTTCTTGGCCGTGATTAACATGGTTTTGGCGAATATTCCCTCTCCCTTCAAATGGAATGAACTACACGCAATAACACAAGAATGCAAATATTCCCGCACCCCTGAAGAACCGATCGAGAGAGATAAATAGACACCCCTTCCTGAAACAAGGTACAAACCCTAAGGGTGTACCCTTCTGAAGCAATAAAAGGCCGGAAAAAGGAACTTCGGAACATATCTTGAGTCAACTTAGAACTGCGTTGCTTAATCCAAGTTTAGTTTACAACTCGGTTCGATTAGTGCATTCAGATGGCTAACTTTGGTCTCTCTGAACATCAACAAATATTGGAAAAAATTTGCCGAATTTGTGGAGGGCGATTGAAGAAGGCAAAAGATAAGTATGAGAACAGTTTTCTTTGCGCCGATTAGACGTAGATTATTTTCACAGCCTTTGGTGTCAAAGTTCGTAAAGATGACCTTGACATGTGCCCTCCTAAGTTCTGCCACAAGTGTTACAAGCTTGCTTTAAGAGGAGGCACACGCCTTGCAATCAATGTGTGGCCTCCACACAAACGCACTGGAAACTGTAAGATCTGCAGTTTCTTTAAGGATCAACAGAAACCTGGTAGGAAGAAGAAGACTAAACCTGGAATAAAACCCAGAGAGGACTCAGCTGAACCCAAGGAACAAGTGGAAATGGTGGAAGGAATGTCTGGCACTTTAAGCTTCCAACCTGACCCAGCCTCACTCTCATTCTCTGAGGAGGTAAAGAATCTACAAAGCTTAAGAGGATCAGAACCTCTTTACCCAGAACAGTTTGTTGAAAACATCAAGCATGAGTATATGTGCCCAATTTGCAAAGAGGTACTTGATCAACCAGTCCAGACAAAATGTCGAACTCCACACATATTTAGTGCTAGTTGCTTATCATTTTCTGTTGCCTATTGCTGTGAATTATAGTCTAATTATAGTTGGTTATCATTTTAGGAATGGAAGGCTGACATGGAACAATGCAATCCCAGAAAATAAAGTGCACATAAAACTTGGAGGAGATGCTGGTGGTGGGTCATTTAAAATGGCCTTCCAGATTGCTAACCTGAGGCTTCCAAATTCTAAAACCAACACAGTGGTCTTTGCCATGTTCCATGCAAAAGATAGTTGGGCTAATTTAAAGACAGCCTCAATGAAATATAAAGAACAAGTAAACACCTTGAAAGAAGCAACCTGGGCATAAGTGAAAAAAAATTTACCACACTTTTAGTTAATCGGGAGAATAGAGACTTGAAATAGCATAATATTAATTAAATTTTTATTTTTGTTTTGCCCATTTCTAGAGGTAAAAAGAAAGTGGTTTTCCTGTTTGGTGACTATGAGTTCCTATGCAAGCTATTTGGAATAGCTGGTGCCTCAGGTATGATCCAGACAATAATTCACATATACAAATAATAATGATTTAGCAATTCAATAAAAGAATATAAATGTAGCCTCTACTCTACATAACTATTTCTGTGAAACAGGTTTCCACCATAAGAATTGTATTTGCAGGCAAATATCCATGTCTTTGGTGCAAGATAAATCATGAAGTAATGCAAGTCTCTTGCCATAAACATGGGCATGCTGAAAAACGAAGTCTTGAAAACATTCAAGAGGATTATGATAAGTTTGTAGCAGATGGCTCTGTTACAAGTCGACAGAAGTTTTATCACAATGTGATTCACGAGAAACTGCTGGAAATTCAATTGGACAAAGTAAGATACAAGAGTTTATTTTATTGCTTTGAAGAGGGAATTACAGGCCACCTAACTAAATGGTTGTCTATTTCAGGTTTGTGTTCCTGGACTTCACATTAGCTTGGGTGTGTTTAAGAAACTGTTTGACGAACTAGAGAACCAGTGCTTTGAGCTGGACAAAATATTTTAATTAATATTTTAGTTAAAGAAGTTATGATTTTATTTTATAGATCATTTATTTGTAATATTACAAGGGCTCAAATTATCAAATTATAGCAACTAAGCAGTAAGCCAAATAACCCAGATTTAAATAGTATTATCTCAACATTATAGGAAAAGCTTGCAGATGAACAAATGGAATTGGCTGCCTTTGAGAAAGCCAATGGACCACTATCGGTTCATTTGGATGAGGTTCTCAAGAAAATGAATGTTGAGAGACAAGCTTATCATGGAAAATCATTCATTGGTAATCATGTACACACTTGCTGCAAGGTAACACAAATTCTACCCTTAGAGTAGGAATTTGTTGAGTCACAAAATTTCATTGAATTGTTGCATTTGTTTTTTTGGTAGGAAGACAACATCATTAAACTTAATGCAGTGCTGTGCTGACAAAAACAGAGGAGCTGTGTCCTTCCCTCCTTTCTCAAGCAAGAGAAATTAGCATGAAATTTGAACAAGTTTTTAAGTTATTTGCTGCTTGCCACTTTGTCTATGACAGTGCAGACTATCTCAATGATGGCAAGATTGATAAGCTAGGTAACTGAAAGAAAAAACCTGACTTTCATGGAAAAACATGAATACAGCAATAAGATCATGTCTTAAGTCCACCTTTTCTTGTTTCCTTGTTGCAGAGGAAGACATCACAAATTTTATTCAGTTCCTTAGGGAAAAATTTCCAGACATGACAATCACACCAAAGCTGCATATGCTAGAAGAACATGTTTGCCCTTTTCTTCGACAATGGCACATGGGCCTTGGATTCTACGGTGAACAAGGGATTGAAGGAATACACTCTGAATTCAATACCCAGTCTCAGCATTTTGACCATGTGAAGAAAAAGGACACGAGATTGCGTCAAATCCTTGTCAACCATCACATTGCCACGAGTCCGGAACTAGCAGGGAAAGCTCCCAAACCTAAAGAAAGAATTTTAAAACGAAAAGCGAACGAGTAAAACTCTTTCCTTTTCAATAGCAATGTATCGGTTCGATGACTAACAACGAGTACTATGTGTGTAAATATAGTGTAATTTATTTGCTCAACTTCTAATTTAGACGAATAAAAGTGTTACTACAATCTTTGGAACCAAAACTAAACCTTTCCAGTCGTTTACAGACTGTTTCACTTGAAATTCAGTACCTCCGAGATTCAAAATGGAGTCGCATAACGGCCGATCTTAACATATTAAAAGCGCCTCGAATGGAGTCTTAAACAATTCGGATTAAAACACTTACCTCTGTCGGTTGTTCAGTAAGGTTTCAAGTCTTCTCTTTTGACTCTTGCTTTGCTGGAAAAAATTCGAGCCTTTTCCAAATTGAAATCAAAGTTTTCAGTTGATTTAATAGGGTGTGCTTGCTAGACTCCACCATAGCAACGTGTTTTCGTCGAACACAGGCAAAATTTGACCGATTTTACTCAAATTTTCGACGGCAAATGCCTCTTCCATGTGCAAGCATCCGCCATGCTAAATTTCACCCGCATACATTAGATACGCAGCAAGATTTCATTGGCTAAACTATATCTTAGCCCAAAGGGTTGCCATGGACGCTAGATTTATGCAAATGCATAATTTTGTATTAACCAGAGAAATAATAATTAACTCGATCTTTCCTGTAGACCGCATGCGCGAACTAAATTTCCACTGCGAAACAGCCGTGAGTTCGCCCCTTGATTGAGTGATATCCAGATGAGTTGATTTGAGACGAAGGCACTAGCAGAATGTGCCAAATGTCACGTCAGCGACGACCATTTTGAATTTCGGCAATTGCGTGAACCTGCTTGGGAACTGGGTTGACGGAATCAACTAAATACTATGCGTGGGATCTGGGAATACCAGAAATAACTGTATAAACTGAACTTGTGATAAAGAGAACCACACTTAATCAAAACAACATTGCTTAACTTATTATTCAGACTGGAAAAGATGCAAACCAACCTCGGTTTATCTAACGAACACGAAATGTTCGGTAGATAAACTTGGTTCTAACTTGTTTGCAATGTTCGATAGCAACTAATTTAGACATGACTCAATCTGGGGGCGAACTCGACTTGGTGGGGGTCGAACTCGAAAAGTGTGGGGGCGAACACGGTATAAGGTGGGGGGGAACTTGAAGGGGCGAACTCGACAGGGGGCGAAAGCGGCGGATACCTCACATAGCGTTATTAATTATAATTTAGTCGGTGGATTGAAAGGGTCTCAAAGTGCAACCATTGTCGATGCAAGTTATTAAAAATAATTTATTTAAGGGGGAAATGCAATTATTTTCTGGCCACATAGGTATTTATAACGTTGTAGTGTCATGAACGTTAGAGGAAACGGTTCTACTGCTGCCAGAAATATTCATTAATTTTCTCCATAATGAGCCATTCAAATATCTCCTAAACAGCCGGATACATCTTACTTTGACTGACACACCTCTATATATCTTCATATGCGAGAGGTTTAGCGAAAAATTATCAGTTAGTGAGTGAAGCTGGTGCAAGCAAGATGAAAATTGCAGCGATCTTCATGTTGGCATTACTCTTTTCCTTAGTGTTGGTCGAAGGAATGTTCAATAATCATCTTAATGGACTGGTAAACTAGTTATCATAAAAATCCCGTCTGCTTAAATTCCTTCCAAAACCTGCCATAATTGTGTAATGATAGCCCCTTGATCACGTCATTATTTGATAAGCTTTAATCCTCTCTCGTTGAATGTTCTGTTTGCTTCTTTTCTTCTTCTTGAATGAGTTCAGTTTTCGATGTAAACCATACTATAATCGATTTCAGCTAGGTGTGAACTGACGTTATTATTCAATTACTTCTCGTAAACGGCGTTTTAACTCACCTATTTTAGAGAAAAATGCAGGAGAGAGAACATTCAACAGAGTACTCGAAGATGTACGCCCGCAGACCCTTGAAAGAGGTAAGTGCAGAAATTTCCCTGTAACTAACAACTTTTTTGAGTTAGTTTTTTTTTTTAACGGCGCCTGTGTCATTTTGGGTACTGTGCTGCATTCGTACTTGTATGAAACTAGCTACATTGCAAATGTCCTAGGTCTACCTAGCCTTCAAGAAGAGGCGTCATCTTTTTTCTTCTTACAGTCGAGTAAAGGCCAGAACGATTGAGGCGGGCGATTTTCCTGAAACACACGTCCCTCCTGTAGCTCCTGTTTTACGGAGAGAGCCTGCTAATGCTATTTATTCTGTTATGTTTCTATTTCTTGTTTAGACAAAACTGGAGCTTAAGTACCGAGGAGACGTCTGCTTACAGGCCCGTGAGCTGGGATGCGAAGTGGAACAACAGAAATGAAACCACGTCAAATCGAGACAGCAAAGCTTACCATAATTCAATGGTCGCCTGCTTTATTAAATGATTAAATTGAAATATAGAATGTTGCTGAAAAAATAAACTTTTTAAATGCAAAAGAGATTTTGTCCTTATGATAAATATACATTGGATACAATGTGTAAAAATAAAATCTGTGGATGATGTGATGGATAAACATTTCTTTGTTTCTTCAAACTTTTCGGACATTCAGTCTCTTTGCAAGATTTTTAAGCAGAGCTATTGGTTACCAAAAATTAGATGAGTCAATCAATGAATAAATTACCGAATAAATAAATGAATCTTGGAACAATCCAGTATTTACAAGACAACTTTGTTATTTCACTTATATAGTTTACCATTTATCGCACCTTAGCTGAGTAACCGAACATTTTGATTAGTACTTTTTCCAATAAAAGCGCGCTAAAATAATTCCGATGTGAAAAAGGGATAACAACAAATTTTCTTGCCATGCATATTACAATATGATGATCGAAAAAAGAGAGGGAAGAAAACGATAATCGAAATGGCAAGAGAAGATCGGGCTAATTAACCCTATAACACCTAGAAGTGATAAACATGTAACTTCTTTCAATAAAGGGGTAAGTTTCTAAAGAAACTGTGATGCTGCGTCGGTGGGAGAGTATAGCAGGTAATTTAGTGTTAACAACTGGGTTGAAAACGTAAATTAGCCGCCGTAGAGGGTAAAAAAGCTGACGTTTCGAGCGTTAGCTCTTCGTCAATCGCTCTGACGAAGGGCTAACGCTCGAAACGTCAGCTTTTTTACCCTCTACGGTGGCTAATTTACGTTTTCAACCCAGTTGTTAACACTAAATTACCTGCTAACTCCTCTTAATAATATCCATACATTATCCAGCAAACAGGTAATGAGAATGTTCAAACTTATCACGCAGAAGTTTTTTTCTTGATCTAACTCTAAATTGTTTTAAATAAGTTACAAGGAAATATGTAGCTGCCAGGGAGGAGAATTAAAGATGAGATCTTGGCAGTAAAACGGTCGAGGAACATGAGATCCGAAGACATTTCGGGTACAACGTGATTTGCAGGGAACTAAAATATATATATATATATATATATATATATATATATATATATATTTATATATAATAGAGATCGGTTTGCACGGGTTCAAATCCCATACAGGCCTGAATTTTTTTTCAGGCCCTATTTTCACTACTGCTCAAGTAATGTTCTACTGCCAAGATCACTTTCATATTAACAATGAAGAGTCTAATTCTGACGAGACAAAAGACTGCATAACGGAAGAGACACAAGGAAAGCTGATAAGGAACGTGACCAAAAGCCTGCTACGGGAGAGGAACAGCTTAACCAACCTGAAAGTGAAACTGGATCGGGGTTATTACAATAGCTTAACGCTCCATGCGAGAGCCATGTCATAGCCCAGAGAAGCAGATGGGCTATCAACAATATCAGTACCTGAAAGGCCGAACTTGGGCTGTCAGGAAGGCATAGGTCTAGTGTTCAAACTTTTACATTGTGTTAATTTTCACTATTTAAAATAAAATAAAAGTTGATACTCTAGATTTAAATTTTACTTGTGCAATTAGATGCGAAATTTTCTTTACTTTTATGGTGAAAATCTCAAAATTTGCTTTGAATATGTAAAATATTACAGTTTTTTTTCGATTAGTTCTGCAAGTTTAAAGTAGCCCTATGGTATTACAAACAGAGTCATGTTCATGGGGTGAAAATATAGGTTAATTATTTGTGAGAATATTTCAGTTTGTTAAAAATAGTAAAGATGCTTTGAAACTGAAACGTTTTTCATACATTTGTTGGGCTTGCGGTAAGGTAAGGAGCAGTGATTTGTTTGCTTTGATTTTGATCTCTACCAAAAAGAAGCTTTGCGGCATTTTATTCACACCTCTTTTTATGGAAAAGTTGAGAAAGATCTCACTTACACTAACCTTGACATTGTCAAGAACATTTTTAACGACCTTACAGCAAAACAAGAATTGCCGGTTGTTGCAACAAATGTCACCATTACCACCTCTACACCAATTCTACCAACAATGAAACGGCCCAAAACCTTATTAAGGACTGTAACGGCGCTACTTCCGGCACTTTCAAGATCTTTCTTTCAGATAAAGATCTGAAAGTTTAAGGGGTTAAACATTTCAGTGATCATGTCTTAAATAGAGATATCAGTGCAATTAGTTTTTCATTCATTTACCATTCAATCATTCATCAGCTATTTTAAGTTATTAATTCACCTAGTTTTTCTTGATTATGTCCTAATTTACTCTTAATCCTTTAACTCTTAAGAGAAGATCCTGGCTCTTAACTCTCCTTGCAGTATCAATCTTATAATAAAAAAAGAACAAAGAAAATGATCGCCGATTTTGGAAGCTCCTGATTGTCCAACAAATTCTCCCTGTCAGTACCACAGGAATGTAAAGAGGACAGTGTGGAGCATACGAATGCTATGTTAGGGCGAAAAGTTTCCTGAATCTCAGAGCTGGTTCGAATTGAAAATTTTACTTAGTACTTTTGTCATAGTTCCGTATGTAAATCGGATTCATCCTCTATCGCTTCTCCAAATTGTTCAGCTTCAGAAATCATCTCTTCATCCCTCATGTCGTTTTCCGCCATTGATAAATCTGTCAAATCAGTTACCAACACGCGAACGTGCTCCCAATCCTAGACGTAAACAAAAATTACGTCAGAAACGAGGGAGATTTTGGGACCGGCCATTATTTAACGCCAGAAGGGAAGGGGTGATCGGAGGATTCTGGTTGTGTCACAATACAACTCAGCTGATTTCCCTCGGCTGATTCTCTCCCCCGAAAGCCATGTAGTATTCTGATGATTCCATCTCCTTGGTCGTCAATTTTCTACACTTCCCCTTCAACTCTGTTACCATGTCATTACCCTAACACTATTTGCCTTCACAACACCTTTCGCTGGACGGAAATAACACTGAATAAACGCGGGTAATATGGCGGGCAAATGAATCTAAAGTTGGGTAACCTGTGTGTGACTCAACAGCATCTTATCCAGGTAAATCAGTGATAAGTCCTGATCGCTTCATACCATTGGAACTGAGAGCCTTCGTCATCTGAGACGAATGGCTAACGTGCAAGACGATTACGTCTGATTCATTTGAACATCACAAATGTTTTCGTAAGTTCCAATAACCAGCTCTAAACGTATAAGTCAAAGACGAGAAGAAAATAATCTATTCACGTTGAAAAAAACTTCTTCCCCCTTCGCTTAACGTTCATAAGCCATATACATAAAAAAAGAGCAAACCTCTTGATGCAAGTGACTCAGGTCGTCGGACGTTATCTTATCATCTTGTGTCCGGTCCAAGACACTGAAGAGCTTACGCAAAAATAGCAGAGAAAGTTTTCAGTAGGGGTTCTTCCCGTAACGAATCTTCGCCTTGAGATAGGAGAATTTTCACAAACAGGCAAGTACAACAACAAGGACAAACTTATTTGCAGACGTGTCTAATTCAGAGGACCGCTTGAACCCTCCATCTCGAAGAAAAACAATCGGCGCTAGGTGAGGAGAAAACTCAGAGAGAACAACAATAAAATCAGAGGCTCAAACGAAGAATAAAAGGTCTCTTCACTCACTTTCTGCAAGACGTTATACATTTCTTCCGACCAGTGCACGTCATGGCCTAAAACATCTGGCTGAAATGAAAAAAAAATACAAATAAAGAAAAGAACGTTCAGTAACGGAGTAATAGCCTTCTCTAACAACAGTGAAACCGATGTCTGTTAAGAAAGAACGACTTTTTTCATCATAAACTTTAATAGGTTAGTCGTTATCACTTACTTGTGTAAAGAACCCCTGAAGTCCTTTACGTGAAATGTTGTCACCACGTAACTTAACTGCCTCGAATAAACGGTTTCTATGGTGGAAAAAAACGATGGTTTCATTGTTTGGTCAAAAAAGGAAAAACTTTCAAAGCTTTCTACCATTTGTCATCAAACCAACGCAACTTCAGTTTTCAATAAGGAGACATCTTGATCTTTACATTAACGAAAATACGCTTCAGCGAAATGTGATGCTAGCCGAAATCGGAAAAAAATGTCCGAAGTCGGATGAAAGTGTCCACAAATGGACGATAGCATTCGATATCAGAAGACAGAAATGGACGAAATCGTTCGAAATCAGATAATAGTGTCTGAAATCGGAAGAAAAGTGTCCAAAACAGACTATAGCGTCAGAAATCGGATCAAAGAGTCGGAAATCAGACAGGACTGTACGAAATCCGACCAAAGTGTCTAGTAATGAACGTTGAGGTTCGAAATCAGACTAAGACGTTCAAAATAGGACGAAGTGTCCGAAAACGGACAATGAAGTTTGACATCGGACGAGAGCAACCAAAATCGTTCCTACACTGTTCTCGATGTTGAGACAGGTCGCGACCTTCCCTGACGTCACCAGAGTTTTTTTCCTACCCTCCATGAGTACTTGAACAGTGGCAGCATTCAATTTAGGCTCGGTTTCATAACCGTAAGGGGTTAAAGGGTTAGAAAATTAAATAAGTTATCGCCACAGTTTACCTCTAAATTTTTCCTGAAGCAAGTAACCTTCAGCATGTTACAGTGAAAGTGCGTTTATTTTTTTGTCGGAATCATGCATCGAGGTAAGCAAAAAAAGACAACGAAGTAATACAATCAGTTTTAACCTGATCAACTTTTCCTGGGCATCGTGAAGTGCTCCAAATCCAATAAAAGTCAAATCTTCGATGGTTGTTCCCAGTTCTGTGTCACAGTTTCTAAAGTTCACTTTTACCCCATGCCTCCACCAAATGTTCACAGCCATGTTGAGGTCATAAGACCGCACATAATGAACCCTACACACAAGAGTAATATTCAAAGAAATGAGCGTGCGGCAAAGAAAAAATTCATGGTCCGTTAGATTTCAAACCTCAAACCTCCCAAGTTCGCCTTCGAGCTGGGCCATAAGGATACTGAGTTCACACCAACCTATGAGCAGGCACGCAGCAAGACGCACGTTCTACGCCCGCGGGATGATTTGAAACGAGTCGCGGAGAGGTTTGCTAAGGGTCTGGCACTATTAACGTCAGTGCTAGACCGTTTGCAGACCTCAATCCGGCTCGCGTGGCGCGAATCTTTGTCTCGTTCTTTCCTTCAGCGAAGAGACTCTCGTGCCCAACAAGCGCAGGCTGAGCCATCACAGAGATACTAAACCCACTATAGGCACTTTTTTAGAGTATAAAGGATCAAAGTGGACAACCAGAGCAGGCTCAACCCCATCCACCTGTGGTGGTAGCCGATCAGAACATGCAATCATGCTCAGCTTCTAAGCCCAGGTAACAAAAAAATCATTTGTAAACCTTCAAAAACACAGAACCTACCAAAGAAACGGAACATAAAGGCAATCACCAGGCTCAATGAAGGCAAAGTGATGTTCTATTTTGTGAAGTCCTGGATACTTGAACAGGTCCACCCTTAAAAAAAAATGCAGGAAATTGTGATAAAGACATATTAAGCCACTACTTAGAAGCTTGGTTACTAGCTTATGATCAGGGTCCTCAATGTTAGCACTGCAGGACACACGTTTTTCTGTCTGTGGGAAGATTTGAGACGAGTCGGAGAGGTTTGCTGAGGGTCTGGCACTATAATCATCAGTACCAGACCCCTCACAGACCTCTAACCAGAAGGCATTTCTCAAGACCTCATACTTTGCTAGGAGCCAAGAAACACTTGTACCAAAGCGATAGTAATGAGGGGCCAGCTCCCAGGCCTCTTGGCTATGTACATTAACCCTTTAACTTCTAGGAATGACCAAGAAAGAATTTCTCCTAACAATATCAATACAATATCAACTAGATAAGTGAAGAGAATAAAGAAAAATATCAATTTGGGGTCAATTAGTTGATCCAATACTAAATTCTCTGAATTAACATTATAAGAATTGTATGGTTAACAGTAAGGAGAATTACTAATTTGATCTGGGAGTTAAAGGGTTATATTAATCTGAAGATGCTAAACCTACACAAAATTTGGTCTCAAAACTACAATGAAAGGTTTGTAGGGTCACTTAATTCTTGGCCTAGTTCCTCAAGTAAGGAAAGACTATCGAAAGCTAAGAATAACTTGAAAGCTGCAAACAGTCAGGACATCAATACAACTGAAGTTTCCCACTTTTGACCCCCATTTCTCTTTTGCACTCAAATCTATATCAATAACATAACAGAGGTTCATGTGTTTTGCATTTCTTTTCTAATTATTGATAACTACATACTAAATACTTATATTTATCTCTTCATTTATTCTAGTAATTATCAAATAGCCATTATACGAACCTGTCAACATCTACCTCAGAATATCCACGTTCTGTCACATTTACCTATATATAAGACACCAAAAAAGTGTTAAAAAAGCATTATGAATAATTTTAAAATGAGTAGTAAAGGTACAAAATGTAAATGTAGAGTCTGTATTTAAACAAGTGGCCCATCCAGCCAGAGCTGATTCAAGTAAAAATTCCTTAGCATGAATTGATTGAGGGTATCACTACTCCCTCCTGGAGTGAGCATTCAATCTGGCTTCCCTAGCAATTTGCAGGTGCCCATTTTTACTTCTGGGTGGGGAAAAGCACTTTGAGAGTAAAGTGTTTTGCCAAAAAACACAACACACGTTGACCTAGCCATGTGTCTCAAACCCTGACTTCACTGTGACCTTGAAGTTCAGCAAACTGACCATGTACATGCAATATGCCATCCTGTCTCCCAAACGTATTTTGTAATAAAATTTCACTCAGATCATGAGGTATTGCAGTAACACACACCAAAAGATGAGAGAAAGGCCTGAAGTGAACTTAACATAAAACAATTTTACCTGCTCCTGATATTCCCTATCTATCAAGAAGAATTCTTTGGTTCCCTTAAACACACACATGATATTTTCTGCATGATCATTGTGAAGGACAGACTTGGTTCCTCCACTACTGAACCACAAAATCTGCAGAAAGAATAATTGTCACCATCAGAGAGGAGTTTATATCTTCATGCTTAAAATGATTTTAGTTTCAAATTATTTCAAAATAATTTAGTTTCTATTTTCCTTGGAAAAGAACTATGGTATTGTTGTCGAACAAAGGACAAAACAACTAAAACTAGCTTATAGTTTATCCATTTGACCCTAAGAGTGACTGGCATCTCATTTTTACACTACTGAATCACACATTAAGATTACACTAATAAAGGAAATGATCACCAACTAAAGAAGTTCTTGGTTGTTATACAAATTCTCCTAGTCAGAGTCCTAGGGAAGTATAGAGAACAGTATGGAGAATACACATGCTGATGTTAGGGTGTTAAGGGTTTACATGACTGAATTGAAATTCTCTTTAAACAACAACATAGTTATGCAACCACAATAACTTACTGGGAAATTACTAAATTACATGTAAAGACCACATAAAAAATCAAGAAAGGGATTAAGCATGATTACTGGAATGAGGTCCTTTCAATAACTAGTGGTATTATCTTTTGTAAAAATTAAAACTATTTTAAATTAAAATTAAGACAACCTAACATTATTATAATAACACAGCCAACATGTAAGACTGTTCATGGAATATAACTATACCCTTATAAATATGACAACAAGAGCTCAGTGTTCAAGAGCATAAACTTACTTCGTGAACAAGGTTTCCTTGTGTAATATCATGACAAGCTATTGGAAATGGCAAAAGTATATCCTTCCTAACATAAAATACAAATAAATGAGCAAGCAATCAGTAGAGAAAAAAAAGGTACCTGTTTTGAATTCTCTACAGTTACAAAAACTGCTTTGAGAAAAAGAAAAATCTTCCCTCTGAAGCAAGGTTTGTGATATGGTAATTCATGGCATTGGTACTTGACACAGTTATTTCAGATCAAGGTCAAATCAAGGGGACATGTTTAAGGGCAGGGCTCTTACAGTGGGGGGAGTGGTTTTTCATTATTCCCAAACTGCATTTAAATATCATCATTTTATTAGATTAAGAACAAGCCAACAACAACATAAATTGTGCATTGATTAATAAAAAAAACACTGCTGATCCTTAGTTTTGATGTCAGTACAGTTGGTGCATGTAGCAACCTCTTCAAACTCAATGTGTGAGTTAACAAACAGAATGATTACAAATTAAACTGGAAATGTGCATACTGCAAACAGCAATTACACCCTTTACTACTTTGGCAATGGAATCATCCATCCATAAAAACAGGGGAAGGGAAGAGGGTAGGTTTTTCCATGGGGGGGAGGGGCAGCAGGGGGAGTACTTATTCCCAGACCTGATGCAATTATTTAACGGTTGCTAATTTGGGATAAGTCTTCCCTTCAAACAAGAATTTCAATTCATATCAATCCTTTAACTCCCAAGATCTGATTGTTAATTATCCCCTTTAGCTGCTACACATTTCTTTATAAATTAGTGACGAGAATTTAGCGTTAGATCAAGATAACAACATCCACCTTCCGGGTTGGAGTATCCTTATTACCTGTTTGCAGGATAATGATGGCCATTTTAGCTAGGGAGACGTTACATGTCAATCCCTTCTTGGAGTTTCAAAAAGGAAACTACAAAAATCGATTGAAAATTGAATGTAAGATCTGAGGTAAGGACTCCTTGTGCATTATACTTACCTCAAAAATTCAGGGACTGAACTTATCATATATTTCCCTGAAGAGTGCATATCGCGTACAAAGTCTGCAAATGATAAATCTTCCCCAGGAGCTGAACGATTCTCTTTTTTGTCAACTTCCACTGTAACTAAAAGTTCCTCACTCTCGGTATAGGAAAGAAAATATTCGTCATTCCATAAAGAAAAGGCTGGAAATAGTCGCGCCGCGCCGCGGAGAAGAACAGGTTTTTCAACATCAACAAATCTTCTGAAGAATTCTTCCGCTGTTGGAAACCCATCGTAAACTTCTACCTCAAGCCTCTTGCCGTGTGAGAATAATGGCTCAAGATGTCCCTCTAAATTACCTTGACTGGCGTTAAACGTGGCGACAAACACAAACGATATAGCAAAGTAGATTTCTGTTCGTGTTCCCGTCATACTCGAGCTCCGCATGCTGTTGCAATTCTTCGTTTATGGAGTGGGCTTAAATTCGTTTCTTCGACGTGTGCGAAAACATTTTGCAATCAAAAGTCGCCTGACTACCCTGGGAAGGTGAACCAGTCGGGAAAGACGACAAGAAGAGTCGAAGAATGCTGAAAGTGTATTTCAAGGTTACGGTAACAACTTTCTTCCTGATTTACACGGTTGGCGATCTGGGAACGAATAACCAAAGATCGAAGTCTTCTCACCCTGCCGTTTTCGTTTACGACACCAAAACAAGAGTTTGAGAGAATACAACAGATGCCAAATACACAAAGAGCCCTTTTCCGAAGTACGTGTGAGTGATCTCCGCAGTTTTTTTGCAAAAAAAAAAAAAACAGAAAACCCTCTAAACATTCGTCTCTAAGTTCCTTTGTTCAATTTTGAGTAAATGAAGCCTGGGAAGGAAAAGTTTTTTTTTCCTGAAAAGGAAGTACTTTATTACTTCCTGTAAAATTATTTATGCTACGTTTGAGACACACCGAGGCCGGTTGAAGAAATACCAGATACCATAAGTCTCTGCACGGTTTAGCTCCAGATTATTTATGTTCTAAATTTGCGTATAACTTAAGGGACTCTGAGAATAAGCTTAATGTTCCTTTGCCGCGCACAAACTATTACAAAAAATAGCTTTAGCTACAATGGCGCCACTCTTTGTAACAGACTTCCTCTTGACCTAAGACAAGCAGAGTCCCTTGGGTTATTTAAGCGTTTAATTAAAGAAGTACGTTCAGGCACAGCATTCGTGGAGCGCAGCTTTAGTGAGCTTTTAGTGTGCTTTAAGTATAGTTTTTATAGTATCTTATCCATTTGATGCATGTTTATATGTTTGAATGTTTTTTATGGCTGATGCCTGTCCGTGGGTAAATAAAGATTTTCTATCTATCTATCTATCTATCTATCCATATACCACAAGTAAACACTAAGGTACCATAAAATTGATCGAGCCACACTTCGTTTATTCATCGCTTACAATTTACATCATTAGATAGAACAGAGTGATCTCTACTTTTCAATCTTATCGATCTCTACTGATGCAAATATTTACGTCAAACACGATCAAAATATTTTTGTTGTGAGTTTTATTCGCTGTGATCGGGCCTTTCATGGGCTTACAATAAAGAGGAACCTTTTATTTAGGAACCTGCCCTTTAGTCTTCGACCATATTCGCCTCTAAAAATCGCATAGATTTTTTAATATGATACCGTTTGTACCTGGTGGACTGTACTCCTCTCCACTCGATCCCCGCTTTCTCGTCGTAGTAGAATGTCTCACCAAATGAGTCAATAATTTTCCTTTTGAAAGTGGCAAATGTCCTTTTGTGGTCCACCCATACTTTTCCGTTCGTTCTACCGGCTTCTTTAGCTTCTGCCATCGCCTTCATACTTTTAACATGGATGCCATGGTCTCCTTTCAGACCCATGCCTGACTTCCTTGCATCGTTACAGCAGGGATCCGGTTCAGTCAAATTGAGCTCTGTCGACTCTTTTTCCTTTACAGCAACTCCTAGCTCGGTGCACTTTTCCGAATATTTCTTACTCATGTTGTGCGATTAGAATAAGCTTCAGTTCGTTTGATTCCAAAGTCAGGGAAGTAAAATAAAATATATCTCCGTTTGTGCAGCCCGCCAAAATTCAGAGAATGTGAAAACTGATCATCCGCAGACCAAGAATCCTGTAGGCCCTGGTTTACTTTGTCACGTGAGCTTTATAGTTGAGAAATGTCTCTACATCGTCGCCAGTGTCCTTTCTTCTGCACTGGAGAAATGAAGAAAAAGAAACCTGAAAATGGAGTCGCATTTATCAGGTCCTGCTTTTGAGACCGCCGGTTATAGCCGGTGGCGGATCCAAACCTTGCCGGCTTTCCTTCCTTCTACGATTTTTTTTTTTTTTTTTTTACCCAAAATAACATAGGGGGCAAGGGCCCCCCGCGCTCCTCCCCTGGATCTGCCACCGATAACAACATTCCTTGAACAGTCACAATATCCATGGTATGGAATGTAAAATAATGTCAACCGACTTTGTGAGCATTTTTATCTTACGACCAAAAGAGAAGATCACAGGTTTCATTAGTCTCATTTCCCAGAAACCTCAGCTGGCGCAGCAATTCTACGGACAACCTACCTGTTGACTGCAGGCTACCCAAGGGCAGTGCCTCTAGAGCTTCACTTTTTCAGTATTTGTGTGAAAGATCTCCCAGCAGTTTACAAGAGTTTCCCAATTAAATTTTGCGTAGAAAAAATTCAGTCGAAACTATCTTAAGTAGTGGGAGATAGAAGACAACGTGTACGCTAACGTAGACCCTACCTGTATAGTGGACAGGATGTGAAAAGGGTGCTATGATGGCTGCCATGCACCTGCTAAACCCAAATAAGACCTAACAGGGCTCCGAGAAAAATTAATGACTTTTGGAAGACACAAGGTGATCCACACGCTCTTCGATTTCTAATCTGCAAAACAGGCGTCATCTTTTTGTTTCGTTTTCTTTCGTTGTTTTCATATTTGTTGTTTCATTTCAGGCGGAGATAACTGCGAGCACTCTTCCGCTTACTTGAAAACGTCGGAAAAATACCGTATTCGCTCGAATAATCGTCGCCCCGAATAAGCGTGTAGGCCCTAATGCGAAGAATTATTTCATAAACTGCACCTCGAACCTCCCAGTAGACGGTTTCAAAGTAGGGCAGACTTATAATATCGCGGGAAGGGCAGTAACCCGTGTGCATTTCAGGTAACTAATGGCAAATCGATCCTTTTGAATGCACCAAGTAAGACGCTGAGGAGGCACGCCTTTCAATGAACGCTGCAGATCGTAGACTCGAATCAGAAACAGATCAAGAAGGAGTCAGTGGGATCAAAGTTGAGCGAATAGGACACCGCTGGTAAAGCACTATTGAAAAGAGCCAAAAGAGACGGATGGTGACAATCAAAAGACGCTTCTCTTGGATATTTTAAATTTTTCGTACAAATCTGATTTATACTGATAAAGTAAAATAATCGTCCATTTAAGGCTCCGAAAATTTCACAAACGCCGCGGTACTTTTTCGAATAAATATTCGCTAGTGACGCTAGCGCTTGATCTGCAGGCCATCATCCTGAACTGACAGACAGGCGAGATCACGTGGCTGGTAAAACATTAATATGCTATGATTTACTTCCCTTCTAAGAACACTGAATCGGCGAAACTGCAGTACCGTGGAAAAAGGTAAAATTTGCTTTTTAATGATTTCGTCTACTCTTGTGTCTTACACCCGCGTTAAAAACATCAATTTTTTTCGCGTAAGAAAACGCCACTAGCCATGATTCCTCGTGCTTCGTTCAATGAGGACAGGTTTCTTTCTACCTACAATCTGTTCGAAATGATTATCGTTACATCTTGTCTCGTTTCGTTTGACTAATGAAACCATATTATTCCTCTATAGTGTTTCGCATGTGCTAACGCTAAGAGTTATTTTCGAGTAAACAAGTTTGTGACTGGGGTTCAAATTCCGCTGAGTCGCATGTCCGGTTCGCGCTGCCGAAGTAGAATTGTTTATCATCCCGATGTGTACTTTACGGACGGCTTTCGTTACAAGGGAAACCACTTTAAGGTTATTTAAGCGGTTTCATTGTTAGGTGATTCGTTCAGTACACTGAAGTTTTATACGTCTTTATACGCACTTAAGTGATGCGCCTTTTGCACTCGCAAACTCACGACTTCTAAGGAAAGCCAGATAAGAGTATCACGAACCCTCGAATAAGTATTATTAGTATATAAAACGAAGTGAATCGGGGGCATTTGAATATGGGGCGATTGATTACTGACCTGTCGATATTTCTAAAGTCGAAACCGTTGAAATTTTAAACTTTTTTTATAGTATGTTATGATGTACCTGTGTAAAACAATTTAAAAATACTATCGTCTATTATGCTGTTAGACTTTTCACTGTTATTGTTATGAAATCGCGACAGCGGATTTTGTCTCCGATCCGATGTATTATTTGTGTCTCCTATTCTATTTATGATTTGATCATCGAATAAAGCACGTTTTTACTTTCCACTTGTATTATTTTAAAGAGATTCCTTTGTCATTGTACGTGTGTTAAATTTGAGCGTTGGCGTTGTCTCTTCCTTTTGCGTACTATTCGCACGGACATTATCCTTAAAGATAACTCATATTTACTTATTGATTCGATTGTTTCTGTTGAACGATACTTCAAACGCTTCGCTGGTAACAAGTTTGATGTGATAACCCACACGAACAGTATTGAAATCGCGCTGTATTTTCTATGTCAAAACAGCGTGTAAGGTTTACAAATCTTTATTAGTCTTTAGCTCATAAAATATTCCGACAAATGTCACGCGAGAAGCGAGCGTTACTGACGGTTATGTAGCACGGTTTACTTATCTCACCCTTCGTTGGAAATGACCTTGGAGATAAGTTCCGGATAGTCTGTCTGGGCATACGGGCATAAAAAATGAATCAGGCTATCTGAAGTCCCTGCGTTCAGAAAGGAGTAGCTCACAGATATTTTCCTTTTCGATACTCAGGATTGGAAAGCAACTTGGATAGTAGTGCTTTTACTATTAAGCGGTTAACAAGCCATGCAAAACTATTCGACTAAATGTGATTGCTATTCAGAGATTAGAAGCAGGCCCTAACTGAGAGGACAAAGATTCAAAAACTTACTCATAAGGTGTAGAAGAATAGCCTTTGCCGCCAAATAAACGGAGATTCCATTGCCAGACAACAAAATAAAGCTAACATCTCGCGTGTAATTTATTAACATTTCTCTCAAATTTTTCGACAGGACTTAGAAGAGAATAGCGCAGCGGGAAATGTCTAACATTCTGGAATGTAATGCTATTGATAATTTAGACAGCGTTAATAAGATATTAGAGTCATACCTGGATGAACTCGACCTGTGGCAGAGAGAAGTGGACAATATTAGGATAATGCACCATGAAGTTTGGAAAGGCAGCAGATTATCACCTTTGATTAAGCAACACCGTGCTGGAAGCAGAGTTGAAAAACAGACAAGAATCTTACCTATCGGTGGTCAAACAGATGTCGATTACATGTTTGAGGTCGTAGGGATTAAGGTTTTTTGCAATGGTAACCGAGATTTTATGTATTTCAAGTCTTGTTCTCAGCAAAACTCAGACGTTGATGACGAATAT